CACTCTTCACGCCATTCATTTTGGGGCCATTCCTCGAGAACAATGCGTTCATACTTATAGAGTATGAGATTGTCTTCTTCACCGCCAGTGTCCTCCTGTTTGTCGTCATTTTGTTTGTCATAAAACCTATTCATAGATAATATCAACAGTTTTTTGGTTGATTAGGACTTTTATGCCACGAATAGTGAATTAATTGAACAAAATTTATATTTAAAGAGTTTTTTATGTCAATTATTTTTGGATTGTTTTATTTATAGTAGTTTTATATAAATATTTTTTAATATCAATTAATTGACAAATATTTTCGATGTTTTTATAAAAAATATTTATATTTAAAATGTTTTTGAACGTAAGAATTATATTTTCACTTATAATTCTGATACTCAATAATGTGTACAATTATAAGATGTATATTTGTACTGTATACCAAATATTACAAATAAAAGTATTAATATATAAATCAGTGTTTTGGTAAAATTCTGTGAAAACATCCATGATACTTTATAAAATCTAATAGAGCTTTAAAAGTACCGGAATTTATTCTAGCAATTTATTTTATGTGTGTATTTCCTTGTTTAATGCTTAATTGACATTTGAATACTGTTTCTATGGCTAAAAATTAGTTCATCCGGGATATTCATAATCATAATTGACTTGAATCAATGCAAAAAATTAAACCATACAATGATAATTGCAATTTGTTATGCAAATAAATTTTAATTTTTATATTTACAATTTAATTATTTAGGAAAAGTCATCAAATTAAATTTTTGTTGCATAATATTATTAATACAATTAAAAAACTATAAAAGTCTCAAATTAGATGTCAAAATAATTTGTAAACATTTTCTGTTTGAATGAATACAAAATGCCCACTGTTTTGGGATAGTATTGCATTCAATGCACTGAAGTGAATGGGAAGCACTGCAAACATTCCCAATGTATAAGTTTTGGGAGTATTTTCATGAGTTAGTGAAACATGTGTTGAAAATGTAAATAAAAATAAACATTTATTTTGACGTGTATTTCAAAAAAAGTTTTATTTAATTGTTTTTATATTACAATGAATTCTGTGAAGATATGGACCAATTGGGTGACCACTAAGGAGATCCAGTCATCACTTTTTGTCAAATATATTTGTGGTGACAGTTCCGGCAATGATAGTGTCGGTGGTATGTATGGATCACTCAAAATGTCTTTGGTTTAACTGATTGTTTGATGCAATGAACAGATGAAGACATTGAGTCCCTATTAGAAAGCCATGAGAATTGTGTCCAACTGTTAC